TTGGGGCCCATCACCACTGAGAGCCTTATCCCTCATGAGTCTGCCCAATTCTCTTTTTCAAGCTGCCAAACTTGTGGGCCATCACTACATGGAATCGTAGAGTTGCTGAGCTGGAAGGGACCCTGAGGGTGAGGGAATGTCAACTAGAGCATCCATGACAACCTAGTGAGGGAGTCCGTTCAGCCGTCAAAAACCTCTCTTTCAAGAGCGAATTCCTTGGTGGAACTATGTGATGTCTGGAGAAGTCCTTCTTCTCTCACTACTTATATAATTATTACACTTAAATATCTTGCCTTCAGGGTGGCATATAACAAGCAATAAAGGAATAAAGGTAAAGGTAAAGGGACCCCTGACCATTAGGTCCAGTCGTGGCCGACTCTGGGGTTGCGGCGCTCATCTCGCTTTATTGGCTGAGGGAGCTGGCGTTCAGCTTCCGGGTCATGTGGCCAGCATGACTAAGCCGCTTCTGGCAAACCAGAGCAGCGCAAGGAAACGCCGTTTACCTTCCCGTCGGAGCGGTACCTATTTATCTACTTGCACTGGCATGCTTTTGAACTGTTAGGTTGGCAGGAGCAGGGACCGAGCAACGGGAGCTCACCCCGCCGTGGGGATTCGAACCGCCGACCTTCTGATCGGCAAGCCTTAGGCTCTGTGGTTTAACCCACAGCGCCACCCACGTCCCTAATAAAGGAATCAAAGAATCTTTTAGAAAAATCCCATGCTATTATACGAGCAAGCTCTTTTGAGGAGACCAGCGACAGCCACCTGCAACAAATGGTCTTGTTATTATGGCTAATATTGTGGGCACTGCTCCTGCGGGACGCATTCCAAAACCTGATAGGATTACGAAACTAGCAAAGCTTTATTTACTTTTGTTGCAAAAGATGCCTTATGACATGATTTACATTGATAAGACAATAAACCCGACGCAGTTATATGCTCTGGGAACTGCAGTGGCGGCGGTGAAGAAGAGGGGCTGTAAAGCTCATGCCGAATTACTCCCCCTTCCTCAAGGGCTTCACCATTTACTCTGGTGGGGGGGTCCGATTAGCATGCACACCCTTTTGCTTGCACACGCGCACATGCGCAGACCCTCCAAGTGCCCCTATTTTCTTGGGACGGTCCTGGATTTACAGGAGCTGCCCTGGTTTCTGATTTGATCCCAGAATGCCCTGCTTTTCCTTAGGACGTCCCTATTTTCACCTGACAAATGTTATGCGACAGCCGCCCCCCAGCCAAGGAGATAATTAACTATACAATCTTTAGAAGACATCTGAAGGCAGGGAAGTTTTTTTCCCTAATGTTTAATTGTATTTTTATATATGTTGGAAGCTGCCCAGAGTGACTAGGGCAACCCAGTCAGATGGACAAGGTATAAATAAAAATTATTATTATTATTATTATTATTATTATTATTGAAGACAGGAGTGCCTGGCGTGCTCTGGTCCATGGGGTAACAAAGAGTCAGACACACCTAAACGACTAAACAACAACAACATTATTACAGTCATACCTCAGGTTACAGCCGCTTCAGGTTGCGTTTTTTTGGGTTGTGGACCGCCGAAATCCGGAAGTACTGGAACCAGTTACTTCCGGGTTTTGGCGGTTGCATGCGCAGAAGCGTCAAATCGCAACCTGTGTGTGCGCAGACGCGGGTTGCAAACGCTGCGGGCTGCTCAGGCCCCCCAGCAAGCCTGGTGGGGTCAGTTTATAGGAGCACAACTTGACCAGCTTTGCCCTACTCTGCTTAAAAGACTTGTTGCTGGACCTTCGTGTGGTTTCCTCCTCTAGCCAGGGAGTGGGGTGTTAGTATTATTAAATTTATACATCGCCCTCCATCCAAAGATCACAGGGCGGTTTGCAGCATAAAACTACTTCACGACTGCTGTGAGGTTATCTTGGGGGAAGAGAACCTTGCACACCACCCTTTGAGGAAGCGTAGGTCAAAGTTTTCTTCCATATAACAGGATGAAGAAAAGTCAGATTTCGGCTCTGCCATTATCTGTGCCCCTGTACTATGCAACTTTTAGAAGACATCTGAAGGCAGCCCTGTTTTGGGAAGTTTTTAATGTGCAATGCTTTATTATGGAATAATAATAATAATTTATTATTTATACCCCACCCACCTGGCTGGGTTTCCCCAGCCGCTCTTATAAGTGTTGCAAGCCACCTGGAGTGGCTAGGGTGGTTAGAGGCTTGCCACACGCCCTCTTTTTCCAGGACATGTCCTTCTTTTTGTGGGCATGTAAAATGAGAGTCGTCATAGCGATCCATAGTTAAAAGTAGGAGTCGGCAAATGTGTCCGCTTTTTTGCTCTTCAAAATATGGCAGCCCTACCCACTGGACTTAGGGATGCGGGTGGCGCTGTGGGTTAAACCACAGAGCCTAGGACCAATCAGAATGTCGGTGGTTCGAATCCCTGCGACGGGGTGAGCTCCTGTTGCTCTGTCCCATTTCCTGCCAACCTAGCAGTTCGAAAGCACGTCAACGTGCAAGTAGATAAATAGGTACCGCTCCGGCGGGAAGGTAAACGGCGTTTCCGTGCGCTGCTCTGGTTCGCCAGAAGCGGCTTAGTCATGCTGGCCACATGACCCGGAAGCTGTATGCCGGCTCCCTCGGCCAGTAAAGCAAGATGAGGGCCGCAACCCCAGAGTTGTCCGCGACTGGACCTAATGGTCAGAGGTCCCTTTACCTTTACCTTTACCTTTACTCACTGGACTTATCTCTGAACAAGCAGGCACAGGCCTGGGCTATGGTTCATGCAAACGGCTCTAGTTGTCCTCCGCTGTTTCCAAATCACCAGGCCAGGGATGGGGAATGTTCTTTAGCCCAAGGCTGGCATTTCCTTTTGGGCAGCGTGCCAGCGGCTGGTGAGGCCAGCGACAAAAGTTGGCAGAGCCTTTGTTGCGGCCGTGCAAGAGGGAAAGCTTCTAGGTTCAGCACGCATCTCTGCGTCCAGGCAGGCAAGGTGTGTGACATTTCGGTCAAATTCTGTCGTTTCTTCAACTTGTAAACTGCCTTGTGTATAGAAAGGCGGTATACAAATTAAAAGTGAAAAATAAAACGAAAAGGAAGAGGCGCTACCACATTCTGGCGGCCATGTCCTAGCCAGTCGCAAGCACACAAGGAACAAGGCTGGGGAAGTCTAAAGCAGGCGCCCCCAATCTGCAGCCCTCCAGATGTTTTGGCCTGCAACTCCCATGATCCCTAGCTAACAGGACCAGCGGTCAGGGATGATGGGAATTATAGTCCAAAACATCTGGAGGGCTGAAGGTTGGTGATGGCTGGTCTAAAGGGCTGAAAAGAGAAGGTTCGGGGGCCGCATTCGGCCCCTAGGCCTGAAGTCTCCTGCTTTAGGGCCAGGGTTCATTTTATTCAATTTGCTTGAATTTAAATGGACAATTCTAAAGAGCATTTGAGCAGACATTTCCCCTCCATTTCCTGTCTCGGGAGGAAAGTTCTGCCCCTCCTTCATGAAAATCCAAACTGGGGAGGGGGACACTCCTCAGGCCCCTCGATGTGGCCCTCAAGACCCTCTCCACATCCATGAGTGCTTTCACCTGCCTTGAATATACCTCTGAAAGCACACACCTGGATGGAGAATACAGTCATACCTTGGGTTGCAGACCGCCGAAACCCGGAAGTACCGGAACAGGTTACTTCTGGGTTTCGGCGGTCGCACATGCGCAGAAGTGCTAAATCGTGCATGCGTGCCGAATCGCAAACCGCGCATACTCAGACGCGCTGCTGTGGGTTGCGAATGTGCATCCTGCATGGATCAGGTTCGCAACCCGAGCTTCCACTGTACAGTGGTACCTCAGGTTATGAACTTAATTCGTTCTGGAGGTTTGTTCTTAACCTGAAACCGTTCTTAAACTGAAGCACCACTTTAGCTAATGGGGCTTCCCACTGCTGGTGCGCCGCCGGAGCACGATTTCTGTTCTCATCCCGAAGCAAAGTTCATGCGGCTCCCGAGAGGTCGCAAAGAAGAGAATGTGGCCCTCGGGTTGCGTGGAGAAAAAAAAGTTTCCTCATCCCTGATCCGGCTCCGCAAACATTTGTAGGGGTGCTGCAGATGAAAGAGGACTTAATGCATTTGCAAGTGAGCAAATGTTCTCTCTCTCTCTTCTCCTCCTCCCCACCAGCTCCTATCTCTATTGAAATGCAGACTTAGTAATGGGGAGTCGCCCGCCCAGATGAAAGGCCCGTCTCCCCCCCCTCAACCTACCCAAGGCAGCTTTATTCTGACCGGCCCTCGGTCGCTTCGCTTGGATACAGTTCTGCGCGGCTCCTTACAGCTTGTAATAAGTCAGGGCGGCTTGGCTGGGGGCCCAGCAAAACACAAACTCCCCTTGAAGTCTCCAGCGTTTTTCCATGGCAACATGGCAGTCATTTGCACAGCAAACAATCGCTCCCTTCCATTCTTACGGGAGCTTTCTCTGCCGCCCCCTCCCCAACTTTCTTTTATTTTTTGCACTGGGGGTGGGTGGGTGGCGGTAGAGAAAGGATATCATTGAACCCGGGGCCCTGGGCTTGTACTAAAAGATTGTCTGTGAAAAGAGAGACAGCGACGACAGGGATTAAGTTACCGTCAGCTCCCGGCTTTCCAAAAGAGATCAAAGGAAAAGAGAAAGAGATAGAAACACTGAATAGTTTGATGTGTCCCGTCCCCCCCCTTTTTGGCCTTAAAAATAAATAAATAAACACTTTCGCTTTAAGGAGGAGGAGGAGGGAGTGGTATATGCACAGCCCAGGCCTGATTTATGGATTAGCGCAAGTAAAGCCCAACAAGGTGGAATTCTTTCAAAGCAATTCAAAAGATTGTTACACTACGCATAAGCCCCCCACTGATTTCCTTACGGGACTGTTCTGTGCGGCGTTCCAGGATAGCCTTCCCCAATTATTGCCTCATTTTTACGTATTTGATGGTTATTCTTCCTTCCAAAATATAAATAAAATTCCCCCCCTATATAACAGAGTTGGAAGGGGCAGGAATCTTCCACCCAAAGGATGGTTCGAACCCACAACCCTGAGATTAAGAGCCTCGCGCTCTACCAACTGAGCTATCCCTCCTGGACCAAACTGATGTTCTACTTACTACATGCTGGTTTGATCACTTCGATCTGCGCTTATGCCAGTGCCACAATGTATATCATGAAGCCAGGAGAGATCGGCAGGGTTTCAAAGCGGATTCGCCCCGATTCTGCTTCAGAGCCCGCAAGATCCCTTTACAAGGTGCCTGGAAGCTGCAGTGCTGCCTCTGTCTGGTAATATTATTATTTTTGGGTCCTTTTAAAAAGGTAAAGGGACCCCTGACCATTAGGTCCAGTCGCGGCTGACTCTGGGGTTGTGGTGCTCATCTCGCTTTATTGGCCGAGGGAGCCGGCGTTCAGCTTCCGGGTCATGTGGCCAGCATGACTAAGCCACTTCTAGCGAACCAGAGCAGCGCATGGAAATGCCGTTTACCTTCCTGCCAGAGCGGTACCTATTTATCTACTTGCACTTTGACGTGCTTTCGAACTGCTAGGTTGGCAGGAGCAGGGACCGAGCAACGGGAGCTCACTCCGTCGCGGGGATTCGAACCGCCGACCTTCTGATCGGCAAGTCCTAGGCTCTGTGGTTTAACCCACAGCGCCACCCCCAAAAGCTCCAAAACCAACCAATGCCTGCCTGCCAGGTCTGGTGCATAGGGCTCCTAAAAGCCTCACACTTTGAAATTGGGGCGACAGGACTTGATAACGTTCTGTTGTTATGAAAGCCATTTTGCACTGTACTGAGTTCTGAGGCCGACGCCGAGACTAAGGAGGAGGCGATGACAGCCAGGATCAACCCCCAGGACCAGCTAAAAGTAAAACGGTCGGCAGTTGAGGATTTCCTGAGGGAAGATAGACTTTGATGGGGTGGTGCCCCATTAGCGCCAATGGACCTCTTCCGGAAGTAACCTCCATTGAATGTAGCTTTCCAACGTGCAGAGTTGGCCTTTAACAACTGGCTTCCGTGAAATGCAGCCTGGTTTTTAATTACTTGGGAAGCAGGAGCCTCCACAAAGGAAAGAAACCCCCCAAGCTTTGCTTTATTATCTCCCTCCTTCTCTCGCTTCCCCTGTGCTTATCTGTCGCAAGAAATAATAAAACTTGAAAGCCTCGCTATCTCCGCAATCGCTTGCCGGCCACAAGGAGGGCCCCTCAGTTACACCCTGTTGCGTGTGACGTCATTGCTCCTGTCCTGAAGAAAACACCCTGAGCTGTGCTTTCCCCTCCTATTCCTGCTCTGCTAGAATTACTGTATAGGGAAGTGGGATTTTTTTTTAATGTTTGATGTTTCAATGCGGTTTTATAATTTGTTGGAAGCCGCCCAAAGTGGCTGGGGTTAACCCAGTCAGATGGGCGGCATAGAAATAAATAAATAAATAAATCACCACGATTCAAGTTACTGTCAGGTGCAGCACAGACTTGTCCTTGGATTGGGAAGACCTAATAATAATAATAATAATAATATATTTATACCCCACCAATCTGGCTGGGGTTCCCCAGCCACTCTGGGCGGCTTCCAACAAAATATTAAACCTACAATAAAACATCCGACATTAAAAACTTCCCTAAACAGGGCTACCTTCAGATGTCTTCTAAAAGTCAGATAGTAGTTTATTTCCTTGACATCTGGTGGGAGGACGTTCCACAGGGCGGGTGCCACTACCGAGAAGGCCCTCTGCCTGGTTCCCTGTAACCTCACTTCTTGCCGTGAGGGAACCATCAGAAGGCCCTTGGCGCTGGACCTTAGTGTCCGAGCTGGACGATGGGGGTGGAGACGCTACTTCAGGTATACTGGGCCTAGGCCTAAATCAGTTCTGCTCAGCTATGAAGCTTGCTGAATGTCTTCTGGCTACTTGTTATCAGTCTGACCTACTCTGCAGCCAGGGCCGGTCCTACCATTAGGTAGAGTGAAGTAACCTCTTCAAATGGTTCTTTCTCCTGAATCTTCTGGCGATACCTTTTTGTTGCAGGGGTGGGGTGGGGGACAGAGCTGTGTGGGTCGCACAGCTTGTCTGGCACCCCCATAACAAACCCGCTTCCTTCGGGTGCAATGGAAGAAACAATCCCCTTGTCAGAACTGGAAGAAAAATCAACTGCCAATCCAGTCTGTCCATGGGATTGGGAGGCACTATCTTGCCCTCTGGCTCGGGCAGCAAAATGTATTGAGCCTGCTGTGACTATAAGAATGTTGTGAGGATAAAATGGGATAGGCACTTCCCTAAGCAACTTGGACGTGAGATAAAACTGTAAACTAGTAAAGCACAATGTCCAAAAGGCCTCCCTTCCGATGTCAGACGAAAATGTGTGTTGCTACTTCTCTCACCTCCTTAAACAAATAAAAGGGAGACTCAGTGAGTTAACAGAGTGGCTGCCTGGACTTTAAACAGGGAAATACATTGCAAGAGGGATTTACCGGTATACTGGAAGGCAAAATGCTACATTTATTTTCATCCCTTCTGCGCTCAGAAGCAATGCTTCAGTTCAGTTTTAATTTCCCCTCCTTGCAAAACAGATGCAGGGGCTGAGCTGGTGTTTGAAATTGAGGCATACAACTGGGCCTTGGAAAACCTCACCAGATTTCATCCCAGCATCTGAATGATCAAGAAAAGAAATTGTGCCCTGTGCAAAAGGAAAACCAAACAATGATGGCTCCCTTCTTTCTCAAACCGAGATAGTGGTCTCATCTGCACCATACATTTAAAGCAGTATCATACTGTTTTTAAGAATCACGCCCCCCCTCCCCCAGAATCCTGGGAACTGTAGTTTGTTAAAGGTGCTGAGAGTTGTTTGCAGACCCCTCTTCCCTTCGCAGCTACAGTTCCCAGAGTAGTTTCATAGCCAATGCCTCTTCCCAGGGAACTCTGGGAATTCCCAGGATTCTTCGGGCAGGGAGCCATCATTGTTTAAAGAGGTACAATGGTGCTTTGAATGTATGGTGTGGACAGCATCCCAGAAACCTCTGCAACTTTCCATGACATTCTGGACTTCTTCCTAAAGCAAGAAAAAAAAAGTAAGAGCCAGTTGTAAGTTACATTTATTGAGATTTTGAGCGGGAGAGTCTGTCGGGGGCTGAAGTAAAAAAAAGTGTATATACCTTTTTTTAACTTATCTCCCTATCTCACCCAACCACTTTCCTGCTGTCAGTGGGTCTATTTACATGCTTGTTAAGTATACGCTAAGGTACACAGTCGAGATCACAAAACCTGATTTTCAGGAATTGGGGCCCTGTTCAGATAATCTCACATCAGACGCTCCTTTGAATTGTGGCTTCACCATGCCCAATCAATCACAACCTTGTCTGTCCCGATCACTAATTTCCCAGCTCTTTATGATGCTGGTGATTTAGTAGCAGTAAAGCTATTTGCCCTACCCTTTCTGGTGGGAAAATTGCCCCTGTAAAACAGTCCCGGGTAAACACAGGAGAGAGACAAAGTAGACTTTCAGCAGCAGGAAAGAGAGGATAGAGAGGGGAGGAGGGGAAAGAGAGACAACCAGCAGGACAAAATAAATTGGAGCCCCCCCCCCCAAAAAAGTCGAATGACAAGAAGGTCAGCATAGAAACACAAGGGTTTTTTTTTTTTAAAGTCAGAAAGCCATTTGGGAAGAAAGATGTGGAGAACATGTGGAGGCCATGTGTCCCAACAGGTCAGTGTCAGCCTCACATTTCCCCAGAAGACAAAAAAAAACCATTACTGAGGCTGTGTGACACAAGCCGAAAGGAAGGGGAAAGCGAGGAATCAACTCCGCTGGGGGGGAAAGGCAGGAGCCGGGAAATGGGACTCCAGAGAGGGGGCAGCTACTGAAGAAGTAGACTTGAGGGAGATCCTCTTTTGTTATGGCTGAGGAAGCAGATAAACAGGAGCCAAGCGCAAATTTGCTACCCTCATGACTCTCTGCATGTGGGTTTTTGTTTTTTTGCATGGATTCATCCACAGAAGATGCTTCCAGACAACCGGTTCGACAATGTTATGCCAAAGCAAGAACTGCCCCACACATTCCGGCGCATTTCCCAGTCACTTCCCTTACAGCAAACAGCCCGCTCCCTGGAGGAAGCAGGTTTGTTGCAGCAGAGCGCCCAACCAAACAGGGAATTGTGCCACCTAAATACGCCAGTATGCGGCTGAAACCCGTCCAAAAATAGTAGGAGTCTGGAAGCACCCTGAGGAGGCCTTGACCACGCACCACAGAATCCCCGCAGGACATTTTGCTGCCTGAGGTGGAGAAGCAAATGCCTGCTTTCCCTCCCTCCACAGTCAAGTTGTATAGTATTCCCCTCAACGTGGACAGAAGCTGAATTTAAAAGGAGCATCTTCTCTCAGATATGCAGCAAAGAGATTTCACAGCTATTCCACCTGCCTGCTCTTCCCAAAGAAGATATGGGGAGCCAAAACCAAAGGAGTTTCCCTGTAGGCCTAGGAGACCCTGTCCTAAAGTCCCAAGATGTGCTCACAGACGATCACAAAGCAACAGATTTGGCTCATTTTCACGGTTTCTACATTTTAAAATCTTTCCTAAGCAGGAAAGTACACACAGCTTTTGATTTCCCTCCTTGCTTTGAAGGGAAAAAAAAGTCCATTTTGGAGATCGCCAAAGAGAAGCGGATCTGTCCACGTCTGAGGTCCTGGAAACTACAGCTTTATTAAATACTCTTCTTGAATTGCCTGTGCTGTTGTTGACTTCTTTCAGCCGTTCTCTCAGGCGGGCAGACTAGGCAAACGAGCGCGTCAAAATGTTTTGTGTATGTGTTATGTTTGCGTGTGTCTGTGCGTTACCTATTTCAGAAACCTTTCGCCGCGCATAATATTTACCCAGCAGACTCGTTCAATTTGCCAGGAGCTATTTTGGTCTGCCCCGCAAATATGTGTGTTAAGCGCCGTTATGAAAAGTAGCCAGTATCCGTTGCTGTGTGTGTGAGAGAGAGGTGTTTCGCAGCTCAGGAACCGCCACTTGCAATTTAGAAAGGATAAAAATCACCAGAGGTTCCCCCAGACTGGTTGCTGGGGCTGGTAAGCGGAGAGTAAATGAATACTGAATATAATTATACT